TTCTGTGCCTTCGCTGCCGTCACCTGCCCACAGCAGCACCATTACCCTACTTCCTGGGTCTCTGCTCTTCTATTTTCTACCTGCAACCGTTATTTATTTAGTTATTTTTTTAGAGCCTGGGGAATTCTCTTGCTCTTGCTGACTTTTGGCTTCATTCAAGCAATACACCACCTGTCTATTTCAGTCAGGGAGCTCGGATGTCAAAGTCACAGGCACCTGCACAATTTCATAAGGAATCATCATGGGAGTGGGGGTGTGTGCACCCTCAAAAGAAGACCCTGGAGCCCTCTTGATGCCCCACCATCTAAACAAGTGCTTGCCAGGCAGCTGGTAAAACCAGACCTCTGAGTGCAGTGTGCAGTAAAGGGAAGAACAATCTGGCTTTGGCTCCTAGCTCCAAGGCTCACACGCTTTGTTATGTGAGGCAAATTGCTTCCCTAGGCTGCTGCAAGGATTAAGTGCCGGGATATATACTAAGGGTTAAGCACGTAGCAAGAACTTTGGAGTTAAACAGTGATCATGACTCAACTCCACCACTTAATAGCCATATGCCCTGGGTGTGTCCCCAGCCGTGCTCAAACTTCTGGTTCCTTAGGGGTAGTCTGGGACAATAATTGGACTTACCTGGCCAGGTTGTGAGGATTAAGTAAGATAATGGTAATAAGTCTCATTTGCTGATCGGTTACTCTATCAGCATCTACATGTAATGTAAGAATTAGCGTGTGTATTTATGGTCCCATAATGTCTATAATATAGTTATGCTCACACACAAAAAGATTAAAAAGCAGTTGGTCTCTGCACAGATTTCTCATATGTATAAATTTGTATAGAATTCATGTGTAAACGTAGTATATAATGTGCCTATGTCCGTAAACTATATCTGTTAAGTCTGGTTCTGTTGCTCAGGCTATAGTGTAGTGGTGCAACTGTGGCTCACTGCAACCCTGAATGCCCAGGCTTAAAAGATCTTCCTGTCTCTGCCTCCGTGGTAGCTGGTATCACAGGAGTCTACCATATCTGGCTAATACTGTAATGTTTGGTAAAGACAGGGTCTCCCGGGCCGGGCGTGGTGGCTAAAGCCTGTGATCCCAGCACTTTCGGAAGCCGAGGCAGGTGGATCATGAGGTCAAGAGATTGAGACCATCCTGGTCAACAAGGTGAAACCCCATCTCTACTAATAATACAAAAAATTAGCTGGACATGGTGGCACGTGCCTATAGTCCCAGCTACTCAGGAGGCTGAGGCAGAATTGCTTGAACCCAGGAGGCGGAGGTGGCGGGGAGCCGAGATCGCGCCATTGCACTCCAGCCTGGGTAATAAGAGTGAAACTCCGTCTCAAAAAAAAAAAAAAAAAAAAAAGACAGGGTCTCCCTATGTTGCCCCCACTGATCTTGAACTCCTCCTGGGCTCAAGTAATCCTCCAGCCTCTGCCTGCCTCCCCAAAGTGCTGGGATTATAGGCATGAGCCACCACAGCTGCCCAAAATGTGTGTATTTGATCTTTAAAATAATTGAATGCATAAAACATGGATACATACACATTATAGACATGTGATGAGAGAAAATGCTTTGTTAGGCTGTTTTCTGTGTTTTAATGCATCTCCTTATCAGAACCCTTTAAGTTAATGGTGCAATTATTATCCCCAATTTATAGGTGAGGTAACTAAGAGGTTAGGAGAGGCTCTAAATGCCTTCTGTATGAACTTAGACACTCAGGTGTGAATACGTATCTAGAGATTGTAGATTTTGTAGTAGCTGGTAATGTATTAAAAATGTTACTTATTTTCAGTGCATGTTATACTACTTGGTCCTTTGGCAAAAAAACTGTTAGTTTTAAAAGAATCCTCTGTATTTTCACCATAATGCCACCTTGTTACTGAGTAAACATTACTCCTTGGATATAGTTGGCAAATTCCCTTTTTGAGGTGGGATACTGTGATCTGATCAGTTTTCACTATACAGGCAGCAGAGGCTTCACTTTGGGGCCTCGCCAGTCTTCCAGATGGGCAACCAGTGCACAGCATGGAAGACGAGACCCTTGCAGGAGACTCTACAAAAGGGCCAAGGTTAGACCCCAGAGCCGTGTCCCCTAAAACTGCAGACAGTAGCAGTGTGATGCCCTGGCTTTGCCCATGAGTTAAAGGACTGTCGTGTGCTCTGAGAGGAACTGGGTCTCTGTCCAATATGAAGCATCAGGTTCAGTCCTGATCAATTGCACAATTAACATTTTGGACCCTTCAGAAAAGACTGCAGGTTTTGAGTTTACATACCAATCTCTAATATAGTCATGTATACGCACATGTTTATTACCTAGGGTAAAGAGATAATTGACAAGAACTCCCTGCCCCCTAAAACAAGGCTTTGTAAGTTTTCCAGCAAATAGAATTTTCTCTGAGAATATTATTTTCAGTCCTAGTCATTCATTGGTATAAACTTTTCTCATGACAACCTGTGATTGAGAATATGCTTTGATATATAGGTACATGTAGGTATGTGCTTGTGTATGTATACACACAGCCCCCATTTACACGTGCGCATACATGTGTCACCTTTCCCAACATTGTGTCATATGTACAGGAAGAACCAAGCATGAACACAGTCACACAGGTAGCTGGACAGTGGTGTGTCTCAGATGGTGGTCTTTAACCTCAGGGGTGCTGCAAGCAAAACAGGGGTTTAGGAATCGGCCTTTTGAAGCCCACCAGGTTCAAAGAAAAGTCTGTAGTGCATAGGTCAGACAGCCATTGTCTTAGCACTAAAATGCTCTTGGTATGTGTGCATGGGAGAGTGACTGCTCATGAAAACTGTTTCCTTCAAAAACAGCTACTTCCAGGAATTAGAAACAGGCTTCAGAAGACATAACTAATAAAAGTTGTCAGGACGTTGAGTGGGAACCTAAGATTGAGATAGCAGTCCAAAGTAATTGAGCTGTATCTGTAATAATTTAAGTTTTTAATATGGAGAAGGTTTTGCTGTTCAGTATATTGCTTTAAGAAATGGCTGGCTGGGCGCAATGGCTCATGCCTCTCATCCCAGCATTTCTGGAGGCTAAGGCAGGTGGATCACCTGAGGTGCAAGAGTTTGACAACCAGCCTGGCCAACATGGTGAAACCCATCTCTACTAAAAATACAAAAACTAGCTGGCTGTGGTGGTGCATGCCTGTAACCCTAGCTACTTGGGAGGTTGAGACGGCAGAATCACTTGAACCAGGGTGGTAGAGGTTGCAGTGAGCCGAGGTCATGCCACGGCACTCTAGCCTTGGCGACAGAGAAAGACTTTGTCTCCTCGCCCAAAAAAAAGTGGGATGAAGGAATGGCTACTTCTTGGGCGTTGTCCACAGAAGAGAAATGCCAGCCTCTATTTATGTGTGAAGCATATGCATGGCATATGGGATTCCTTCAGGCTTATTTTCTCACCTCTGCCCACAGTTTGTGGGGGAGGACAGTAGTGGGATGATAAGAATCTGCATCTACTGGCCAGGTCTCTTAAACTTGTTCACTTCTGTCATCAGTCTTCTTGACATTTCACATAAAATTTATATTCTTATCTCTATTTTGGATAAGAGCCTGTTTTTTGGAAGTTCTAATGTGTAAACTCTATCTGTCATCTCCTCTTATCCTCCTATTTAGTGCAGAAGGGCTAAGGTATAAACCAGTATTTTAGGAAACCGTTATCTCCCTCCCACCACCCGTAAGGATAAAGCTAGTGACTTGTTTTAATTAACATATGCATACATACTGTGTAAGGAGAGCACAGGAGTCCCAAGTTTCACATACCACTGCCACCATCGCCCTCAGTAATAAAGTGGGCACAGACTTCAGGGTCAGACGGTTCTTTGTGCTGCGCCCTCTTTCAATACTTGCTAGATAAGGCTTTGGGCAAATCATACGACCTATGGGATCCTTCCTGTCCTCATAAAATAAAGGTAACACTACTATTAAGGGTCAGTTGACAGCAGGCAATACAAGTTGATTTATAACCTGCGTGGTCTTCATATGTAAGGAGTTTACAGAGAAGGGATGATTAACTATACCGAAATGAGATGATGTATGCTGTTAAGACACCCTGCAGTGTGGAAAAATGATTGCACAATAAACACTCTGCAGGTGGCACACAGGGTTCAACTGCTCATGTATGAAGTTCTCCTTGGTCAGGTGATAACATGCCTTATCAACTAAGGATGCACACTCTGGAATCCGAGGGTGATCACTGGCTTGTTGTGTGACCTTGGAGAAATGAATCTGTGTCTCAGTTGCTTCAACTGTGGATAACAGTGTACACTCTATCAAGTACTGCTGCAAGCATTTTACACAGAGGGCTTTCTTCTCCATAACAGTATTAAGAGGTCAGTGCGATTATCCTGAGGTGCAGGTGAGGAAACTGAGGCACAGTGCTTTGGTTTAATTTGTCCTGGATTGCCGCCAGCAAAATCAGGATGTACACTCAATGTGTTTCCAGTATGCACATTAACAAAATCTTTGCTCCCAAGTTGATAGGAATATGAAGAAAAAATGAGACAGGATTAAGATCCTAAGTAACTAAATGAGGTGGACAGTTCAGCCTTGATAAGATTTTTAAATGAAATAAAGAACACAAATTTTGGCTCCTAATGAGCACTCGATATATGTGAACTCTAGCACTTATCCGAGGTCTCCCAAAAAGGCATTAATAGCTGAACATATTTATTTGAAATGAGTGATGTCTTGTTTTGTTTAAAATGGAAGACCGACATGTCCATGCTGAGAGAGAGAGAAACTTCCTTGGGTGTTTCTTAAACAGGGTGAGTTCTAGTGACTTATTTAGGATAATGAGTGAGGAAGGGAAATATTTCGAACCAGAAATCCTGGGTACTTGCAGGAGGCATCTGGTCTACTGGTGGCTGCAGCAGCCTGCTGCTTACCACCCCACATCCCCGGCAGACCCAAGCACACTCAAACCTGTGGATGACGAATCTACCCACTGAGAAAACCTATGGAAGCCAAAGAACTCAGAACACCAACTTGTACCTTTTCAGACTAAGCTTTTATTTTTTTGATATTACAAACCAGTTTTCTTTATTCACAAACCACTGTAAGTGATATAAACACTAATTTCTAAAGACAGGTATACACATTTTCTGGGTTTGCAGATTGCGTGATGTGTGTGTTAAGAAGTCACTATATGCCACACATAATATTAATTTTCCATAATTCATAATAGCAATAGTTATTTAGATAAATGAAAACATTCCAAATAAATACTGTTTAAAAAAAAATCCAAAATGTTTGTTTACATCTGACATACATTGTAAAATGACTTATTGGCATCTTGGAGGAGTGCCTGGACAGAAGATTCGGCAACTTCAGCTGGCACCCCCTTACTCTAAATGATTTTATTAAAACTACATACAGTCATGGGGGAAAAGTACAGCTCATGGATGAAAATCAAAACCGCAAATGAATTTTACTTTAACCAACACAGTAAGAATTCTATGTTTGATTCGAAACACAATACAAATTCTGGATTTTGAAATCTGAGGCATTCGGGAGAAATCATCTTATTCTCCACAGCCCCCTGCTCCTACTCTTTCTTCCCTCCGGAGGATGCCATAGTATTTTATAACAGGCTTTGTTTAAGAATGTCAACCAGGCACCCACTGCCATAACTGTTTTCCAGGTGGGGGAATGAGAATGTCTCAGTGATGCTATAAAACACCCCCCTGCCCCTCCCCTCACCCACCCAAATAAGTCTGGTGAAAAGAACACTTTGACAGGCTTTTGGCTGATAAGCAGTCCCCCCCTCCCCCTTGTCTCTTTTCAAGATCACTATCTGTCTTAGATATCGAAGCTACAGAAACTTTGTTTTCAAATCTTGTGAAACTTTATTGATGGTTTAATATCCAACTGATCTTACGGCATGCACATAGGATGGCAAGAGAAAGCTGGACCACACTTTTTTTTTTTTTTTTAAGTTTTGTTTGGTTTTGTTTTAAAGCAGAGTTGTTACAGCGGATTGGCAGGTTCACAGCGGTGACTTGATAACTTACTGAAGTGCGTGCCACAGGGCCTGCACTATACACATGAGGACTTAACCTATGGCAGCAAAACTACCCAGGGACAGCCTGCTGCTGTTGTTTTTATTTAAATACAAAAACAGGAAGACCCGTGACAGATACCCCAACTTAGGTTTACTTGTAAACAGGACAACGTGGAAAATTCAAACAGAAGTTACAGACAAACTGCAATTTTTCGGCTGTGTCACTCTGGCCCTGCATCCTAGAAAGGAGGGGAGACTTTGTTTTTCTGGGATGAAGAGGGTGGGGTCTAGGTTTCGTTGTTGTTGTTGTTGTTGTTGTTGCCTTTTGACAAGTGTCCTGGGCCTTGGAGACAGAACTAAAGAGATCATTTTTGAGAGAATGCTTGGGCATGAGAAAGAGGTGGAAGGGCAGGATCTCACGGACTGAAAAATTGCAGATTGCTCACACAACGCAGTCACATTTCAAAAAGTACCAAGCTGATGAAAATACCATGATTATCTCTACTCAATGATTGCAATACTTGTAAAATGCTTCTATAAATCTGAATATGATTATCATGTAATTCCATAAAAATTATACGTCTGTCTCTAACAGTTGTTCTACTAGGCTAAAACTAAAGCTTCATAGACTGTTTCTAGAACTTAACAACTCCACTGCACAGATGTAAATTTTATACATTTTTTTTAACTGGTACAAAGAATTTAAGTTTTTATTACTTTCTCTTTTTGGAAAAAAAGAAAAAAATAGAAACAGTGCTTTTTATCACCTTTTTATTAATGTTATTTTTTCCCTCCCATAATATAAAAGTCAGCAATGATATCAATAATTTATTATACTGGAAGAAATATAAAAAGAATGCTTGTTGATGGTCTAACTAGCGGGTTTATTTTTTTTTTTCTTTTTTTTTCTTTTCTTTTTTTTTTCTTTTTTTTTTTTTGCCTCAATAGCGACTGGTTAAGAAGCTGAATACTGCTGGGTGGAATGGTTAAAGGGTGGGTTTGCACAGCTTCATTCAACTCGGATGCACAAGTGTGCTAGAAGCACTCCCTTAACAACATAACCTTTGGCTTGAACTGGCAATGAGTAACTTAGAACCATTGATAAATGATTGTTGGTGCAGTGGGTCGTTTAGATTCATCGGTTACATTGATTTATTTTTTCTTTTTTGTCTTTTAGCCAAACTCGAGTTCCAATCCCCTAAGCCCCTCCCAGCTTCCCCTTTCACAAAATAAGATAATGCAGATGCAGAAAAGAATGACTACTGTAGTCACTTACACTCTTCCCAAACAGCTGATAACGCCAGGAGCTTAATATTCAGCATATATAATTCATTTACATAATATAGCACTCTGGATATGGCCCTAAACCAGTTTTTATTCATATCTAGCATCTGTCTAGATCAACCACAAAAACTCCTACAGCCAGCAACCAAACTACGGAACCTTCAGAAATTAAAGACCCACAATATTAAAATACACAGAACAAAATATCTGAGGTATAAGATAAAAAATGTAATTTTTTTCCTTTTTACTTTTATTTTTTTTTTTAGAGTTGCTAAAATGATGCACTACTGCATGTATTGCAATACTCAGGCCTCGGAAAGCTTCCTTTCTCCCCACATTGGAAGGTTTTTATGGTTTTGTCATTTAGTATGGAGCAAAACGGTTGTATCCCCCTCGGTATATACTAGCCTGCAATGAAGAAAGAACGAGACCCACATCATCAGCATGGCTCCTAGTCTTGGCATCAGTCAAAGGTGCAAAAGCATTCTGAAACAAAGCAATTTGAGGGGTGTGTTTTTTACATTTTCCTTGTGCAACATGTGGATCATCAAAAAGACTCATGTGAAAAATAGACACTCAGAACCAACCGAACTGGAGGCACCCCCTACCCATCCCCGGTCATTCTTGGAGAACTAAAGATAGGGCCATTCCTGACCTTCCTCACTAGCTCCTCGTAAAGCAATTCCCTGTGAAATCAAATTCTGTCAGCCAGTCCTCTTTGCTAAAAGGACTCTGTCATAAGCTGGACAACTGAAGGATTTTCACTGTCTCACTGCGTTTTTATTTTTCTTGGACGGAGCGGGCTTTCCCCGAGGTAACAGAATGATTCTACACTTGAGGTTGAATTTAGACAATGTATTGAATGAACGTCATTCAACTCTCCTTTCCAACACATTCCTCAAGGGGATGAGGTGTTGAAACAGAGTTGTTGAATGCAGGATTGGGATGAAAATCTCAATCTACCTCTTGACTTGGCTTTGCAAGTTGCACGGAATCTGATCTTGAGAAGGGAGTTGTACAGATGAATCGCTTGGTGGAATTAAGTTTGTGCAAAACAATGTTTCGAAATCAAGGCTGAATTTCTATGACCGAGCTTCGGTGAACTGTCTGGCCATGGCTTTAATGGCTACAAGGTGGCACTTAACGATTTCCTTTTTCTAAAAGTACTGGCAATTCAAATGAATGCCTATGGGGATTCATTTTTAGGATAAGGACTGATGTTCTTGATCCAAGCAGAAAAGTGCATGCCAAAGCTTTGTAATGACTGCATATGGTCTCACATGATGAGCACGCCTTACTGTACTCAAGAGTTTTAGTGCATAGAAGTTTGAACAAGTACAGGCAAATTCACCCCACCCTTACCTCCCGTGTTTTACCCTCCCCCCACCCCTTCCCCAAACAAAAACCCAGACCTGCCCCGAAACAAAAGACAACCTCCAAACCCAGCTGATCCCTTCTACTTTCTTATGTACTAGGTACACAAAGTGTGCCCCTCTGTCTATTTTCTTTCCTGGGCGACTATGACTTTAAACATGAATTGTAATAGGGGAGGAGAGGCAGTCAGATTCTCAGCTGCCTGACAGCAGAGGCCTGGAAGTGTGCAGCTTAGCTCCTCTGAAGTCTGTGCTGGGGCTGGAACCTTGGGGCTATGTGAATGAGCAGCAAGGGAGGAAAAAAAAAAGAAAAAAAAAGTTCTGCATTGACACTGCATTCTGTTAGTGATGGATTTAATTATCAAAATGACTAATTATTCCATTAAGGTAAGTGCTCTGCTAGGTGAGACTCACAAAATTAGAAATATAATAACTTACATGCACTACATTGCCAAGAAATTAAGACATTTATCAAGTTTACCGGGAGGATTAATGTGGCATTTTAGCTGCTGTTAGCACAAGAGACAAATTCAATTAAGGGGAAGTGAGAGGAAGTCAACCCATACTGAGGTCCCAGCTGGGGGAAGGGAAGGGAGGCAGGAAGAAGTGAGGACAAGGAGAAGCTGCTACTCACCATGGCACCAACGCCGTAGGTGGCGGCTGGAGCAAGTGTGTGGTGGTAGGGGTCGGCAGCATAAACTCGTCCGTAACTGAAAGGAAAACAGAGGTGAAGACTGATCCATAGCATGCAATTACATAACAATAACACTCATAAAATCCAAAATACCGAGACAGTATGGAGGGGCCCTACTCATCTTGGAATAAGAAACATACTCCACTCTGCCATGTAATGTAACGAAAGTTCATCTGTGCACAGTGCGTTTTTTTGTGCATTTAACATGGCTGATAATGCTATGCTTAACAGATACATACATATATGCACATATACACACACGTACATATATATATTCCCTGCCTCCCCCCATAATAGTGTTTCTACACTGCTCAAGTAGCTGCCTTAGAGACTGAGGTAGGCAAGAAAGAAACGAGCAGAAGTGTTAAGCCCGGCGCCCACAGAGGGTATGGTTATCCTCCAGAAGAGTGCCCTTTTCCTCTTGATTTAGTTGGCACCATTCAAGTGAAATAGGGTGACTCAGAAAGGGTGACGTGAACCCGTCTGTGAAGTCAGTGTCTTAGAGTGGAAATGAACAAGCATATTTGAATGGAAGCACCCTTGAAGGGTCTGTGGGACCCCCCTTCCCATGCAATCAGACTGATTTGGTTTAGACCCTACCATTCCAGAACTTGTGTCTCACGCATCGATGACCAGGTTCTGGGATTCTGGGATTCTGGGAAGGGAGAGGCATTTGACACAACCAATGTGTTTTTTTTTGTTTGTTTGTTTGTTTTTTTGAGATGGAGTCTAGCTCTGTCGCCTAGGCTAGAGTGCAGTGACGTGATCTCGGCTCACTGCAACCTCTGTATCCCAGATAGAAGCAATTCTCCTGTCTGAGCTTCCCGAGTAGCTGGGATTACAGGCACAAACCTCCACGCGCAGCTGATATTTTTATATTTTAGTAGAGACAGGGTTTCGCCATGTTGCGCAGGCTGGTCTCAAATCCTGAGCTTAGGCAATCCACCCTCCTCAGCCTCCCAGAGTGCCATAATTACAGGCATGAGCCAGCGCGCTCAGCTGAAACAACAGATCGTAATGACATGTACTCATCTTTGCGTTTTTCTGTCTCTACCATCCCACTCACTCCACTGTCATGGCTTCTGGAATAGGCTTTAGAATAAAAATGGGAATGGGATAGAAACCAAGGTCCCATAACTAGACAGAGCTGATCCTTGAGTGTGTGTTTTGGTTTTTTTAAACGAAGTCTTGCTGTGTTGCCCAGGCTGGTCTTGAAACTCCAGGGTTCAAATAATCCATCCGCCTCAGCCTCCCAAAGTGTTAAGACTCCAGGCGTGGGCCACTGCACGCAGCCTGACCCTTGAATATCTTAGGGCAACTTGCATGCTTGTCCGCCGCATCCTGTGCCCTCCTTGTTTGCCCTGACAGATACTTTTCTGGAGATACTTTGGTCCTATTTTACTTTGCAAAGCTGAGGTCCTTCCCTGACAGCTGATCCTGAAATAGAGATTCCTATGTAAGTGACTTATCGAATGGGGTGCCCTCAATGGGAAGAGAAGGGAAAGTAGGTAAAAAAGCAAAGTGGGGAAAAAGGCAAGATCTGAGCTGAAGAAAAGCTTCTACCTGATCCTGAGTTTCCTGCCTGGAGGCAAGTGGGTTTGTTCTTTAATGCCCACGTAAGTTAAACATTAGATGTGGGCTTTCCTGAGGGGTGGGTGATACACCGCTGAGTTAGTGGCTTCCTGCGACATGAGGCCAATTTGCTGGAGAAAGGAGCAGCTGTATTGTTAGCAACCGACACTCACAGCAGCTCCATGAATCCATCAGCCACTCAATGGGATCTACACGGTATTTTGATTCTTTGACGCTGTTTTGAAGGAACAAGGCTGGAAGAAATGGTTTGTCTGCATTAACAACCTTAAGCTCATCTCTCATCCTTTACGGTCCAATTTGTATGTGCTTTTCCCCCTCTCCTCTCCTGTTTTCCCCCATTTCCTTACAGCATGTCTCATAGTTGGTAGATAAGCATGTATTGGATTTCTGTCATTTGACCCTTCACAGTGTGGAGTCTGGGAAGGTGAAGACAGTTGCATGGAGGAACCTCTCACCCAGACTCCAAAGCACACCTCAGGTAGAAAAAACTGATTATACCATGGTCACACTGGGCATGTTCCAACTCCCAAGCCCATCTGCCTGTGTCAAAGGGCACTGAGTGCAAATAGTCTAGATGAGGGTTTTCAGCTTGAACACTGATCCTCAAATAATGACTTGAAGAGATGTCTCTCTTCTGGGGTGAATCTGTCAGTGAAACTAACAGTCGGCTCCCTCTTGCCTTTCATTCTTTGGAGACACCCTTCAGTCCTTCTGCTGGTCAGAAAATAGTTTTTAATCAAAGATTATCCTTCTCTCTGGGAGGAAAAACAGGCCCAAGGGTAAAAGGTATTAAGAATGATAGTTTTTGAAGAAGTAATATATACATGGAGGTCACTCCTGAGACCTGGGCCTTTATCCACTCAACTTAGAAGTACATAGTGACAGGGGTCACAGGAAACGATGTATAACTTCGGCACTGGCCTTTACTTCATGAGACAAAGTCTGATTGGTCCAGAGAAAAAGGTGTTAATAGGGTTGTTTTCAAGGTACTTTAATTTGGCAAAACTGTTTCATAACTAGGACATAAACTGCAAAGCAAACTGAAATACTTCACTTTGTTAAGTGACGTTATGGCAATGGTGTTCCTTCAAAACAAACGTGAAGAGATGCAGACGGTTCATTTAAAAATCCGGGAAATGGTTTCACTGTGGCAATAATTTCCTCTTTTCGGGCGACACTATCTTGGCAGTTTGAAAGTATTTAATACAAGTGTAGCTCCCACCTTTTCCTACTGCGTACTTTAATGGTAGATTCTTTAACACTGGGCAGAGTTTCAACCTTGTGGAAAACCCAAGGTAACAATTTGGCAGTATTCTCTTCCAAGGCGGAAGAAAAATACAGCAGCACTGAACTATTCCTCAAAAATGAGCAGGCTGCTTTTCTCCTCAGGGTGACCTCTACCTTCAGAATCCAGTGGTTTTATTATGATTAATAAATTTCATTTCCACAGAGGAAAAGACACCATGTCAGCTCAAACTGAAAGCAAGGAGGCTTCTTTTCAAATGCTAATTTCTAAACACGCCCTCATGTGACACTACAATTTAGACACAAGGTTATTAGGGAAGATGTGGACTTGAGTGCTATGTTTGCAGCAGATATGCCAAGCACGTCAGCAATCTGATGTCCTCAGAGCTGGCTAAGCACAGCCGGGGGAGAGAGTGAGCAGCAGCACCCAGGACTTCTGCAGGAATGATGGGAAGATGGCTTACGGTCGCCACGTTAGGACATGACCTGTAATAGGATCACCACACCAGGCATCCCTGGCCAGAGTGGGCAGTAGTGCAGTCAGATCATGATGATCTCCATGTCTCCACATTCCATCCATCAGTAATTTCAGAAGAAACCTTAAATGTGTCCACTGCACTCCATGCACAGGAAGACGACGTTAATAGAAACGACCAGTAGTTGATCAAAACCAACTCAACGGCAGCCTAAATTCTTGTCTCCTCTGTTCAACTCTTGCTCTTTCAAACCGGCAGCCATTTACAAGTATCAAGTCTCTCAGGTCTGTCCATCCATCTGTCCACTTAAATATAAATCTATATACATCGAATCCTATCACTCCCTGCTTAAGACCCTCCGATGCTTTTCCACTGATCCTAGAATAAAATGCAAACTTGCATAAGCTGCCTCTGCCTCTCTTTCAGTCTTCATCTTCCTTTCCTTGGTTACTATGCTCCAGGTACACAGGCTTTCTTAATAATTCCTGCACACATGCATATCCATTCTCCGCTTGGTCTTGGCACTTGTTTGCCTTCCACCTCAATTTCTTTCATCTTTTATGTTTCAAACCAAATGTCTCTTCCCTAGAGATGAAGAGATGCTTCCTTTTTGAGACAGAGTCTCTCCGGGCGTGGTGGCTCACACCTGTAATCCTAGCACTTTGGGAGGCCGAGGTGGGTGAATCACCTGAGGTCAGGAGTTCAAGACCAGCCTGGCCATCATTGTGAAACCCCATCTTAAAAAAAAAATTAATAAGAGAGAGTCTCACTCTGTCGCCCAGGCTGGAGTGCAGTGGCACGATCTCAGCTTGCTTCACCTCCCAGGTTCAAGTAACTGTTCTGCCTCCATCTCCCTAGTATCTGGGATTACAGGTGCCCACCACCACGCTTGACTAATTTTTGTCTCTTTAGTAGAGACAGAGTTTCACCATGTTGGCCGGCTGGTCTCAAACTCCTAATTTCAAGTGATCTGCCTGCCTCAGCCTCCCAAAGTGCTGGGATTACAAGGATGAGTCACCACACCTTATCCGACTGCCCTTTTTTTGAGGGTATTTTTCAACTTTATCCCTATCCCTTCATGTCCTATTGCAACTCTAATAATCTCATTTCCCAGTCCACCTGATCATTTACCTTTTACCCTCCTGGAATGAGAGCCCCATGGAGGCTGGAGCAGTGTCTGTTTTGTCTGTCTTTCCATCCTCAGTGTCTAGCACCCACCCTGCCACAGTGCAGGTAGAGAGGGGCCAGCCAGTGGCACTGCAGGAGAGAAGGCAGCAAGATGAAGGAGTAAAGAGCGAAACGGAGGCTGGAAAGACGCTCACGCCCAGCATTACGATTCCATTAGGAGACTCTATCAGCAGAAAGACTCTTCCAGATATGCTCTTTGAAGATTCTGGGTCAGCTGCTCGCAGATACATTCAGAATCCTTCAGGACATTCAGAAGAAAAGTTTCTGGGGACTCTAGAAATAGTGTATAATTTTTACATCACTTCTGAGAGTTGGCTCAACACTGGCCTAGTTGCCATAAAACTCATCAGAACCCTTAAGGGAAAAACTAAAAGGCACAAAAGAGAAGTGCGTTCCTGGTTAATTCCCCATGGCGTGCAACCGTCATGAGACCTCATCTTTTTGACCTTCAGCGACAAGTTAGAACTGGGAAGCAACGTGAGGACCTGGGGAGAGCCAGGACTTGGGAAAAGAA